CGAAAACGTATTGAGCAGCTCCCAATCTTGAAAGTAGGCTTCCCGCACCTACCTGAATTATCGACTAGCGGCGAATTTCGTGAGACTTTAAATAACCCTTCTCCATCTCATTAACAAATGCAAGGCTCAGTATCTGCTCTGCCTGACAACGACTACAAGCGCGCAATTCCACTTCTCTCGGATGCACGAAGTTTACCGCTTTTAAGGCATCTCATTTGCCTAAATTTGGCTGACTTCTGATGTGTTAAAACATAAAACAACGCCTTTTTCCTTCTGTTATTTTAATGTAGCTCTTTCTCAAATGATTTTAATGATTTTTTATCAGAATTATGTAGTTTTTGTTTTTTTTTTTTTGGTAAACGACTTTGGGCTGTCCTGAGCTCGAGCTACAGGTAATTTAGTCAGTGCAAGAGCCAATCCCTGCACGATTCATTTTGGTGGTAAACCGATGCGCTGCAGGCAATAACCAAAACACTCTCAATTAGCATCTCGAAACGGAACCATCAGCTTGCTAGTGGATGTCTGCTGTTAGCAAAATGATTATCACTTCGGCCTCTCGCACTCATACGCGGATCCAGGACGTATTCCTTGGGAAGCGAGTGAGAGAAGGGACGGTATGTGGAAGAAGAGTGAGGCTTCCGAAGAGGGCAGGCATCGAAAGTAGCTCTAAACCAAAGCAACTCTTTACTGCTATCTGTAGTTCCTGTCTTGAATTCCCGACTAGCACACTTGTTCCCCTCCTCTATCCTGTCCTCGGTTCCTGGCTCTAGAGCCGCATATGGATACACTCTCAACCTTCACCCTTTTGCTGGAGTTCCTGACTAGTGCCCATGTCCGCCCTCTCTATCCTGTCTCCAAACCCTGCCCTCTGAAACCCCCCCCACCTCATCCCCAATCGCCTCACCCAGCCAGTGAGGCCTGAGGGGTAATGCAAGCCAACGATCGCTGGCAAAGTGCCATTCGGTGCCGGTAGGTGACGCGGAAAATAGCATTAGCAGAGAAACGAGATCGCTCGTCGATGGCAGCTGAGCCGTGTTTCTTGGTTCATTGCCTATTTGGCTGCTCAACTGGGAAAATCTGACTCGTCCGCATGGGATTTCGCTCATTTGTGCGTTTAATTCTGGTCGTCTTCTGTCGGGTGTTGCATACTTTTACAGAGTCTGGGAACTTGTTTTTATTTTTCACTGTTTGTAGTGTCTTCCTCATTTTTTTGCGAAAAGTTGTAGTACATTTTTAACAGCTAATTTAGGTTTCAGAAAAAATTTCATGGAAAAGTCGAATTTCTGAGAAATGTTGATGAAAAATACTGAAGTTTTTTCGGTTAAATGAAGAAATTTTTGACAAAAATTGGAATTTTAATTAAAAATTTTCCTTCGGTACTCGAGCAGCGTGTAGGATTGCGCGATAAAGTAAAATCTGTTGAGCACATATTCGCATTACCGACAACCGGTGAACGTTGCGCATTAGTGAGCTGAGGGTACCATAGACGGATCTGGGAAGGACTCATGTGGCGAGCAGGGGGCGGGGCAATGGGAGTGGGAAGGCGGCAGTCTCCACCAATCGTAGAACTGCGCAAAAACTAGAAATAGAGTTGTAAAACAGTGTTACCTAGGAGCAGGGGCGGGGCGATGGGGTGGGAAGGCGGGAATCTCCACCAATCCTAGAACTATGCAAAAACTAGATAGAGTTGTAAAACAGTGCTGCTTAGAGTTACTGTAGGCTTTAGTTTACTTTAGTTTTAGCTTTTGACCCGGACTTTTGCAACAGCACTGGTGCCTGTGGCGCTGAGGGAGAGGGGGAGGGGGCGAAAGATTCATCCTCCCCTCCTCATGGACCCGCCTATGGCTGGCAATCGTTAGAAATTAAACAATCACTCGGGGCGACTTTCAAAAAAGCACCGTTCTGGGTACTAGTTGAAAATATGTAACACCGAATCGAAGGTCCTGTGACACAGCTGCTGCACCGGGCTTGTTGGAGCATCCTAGTAACATCACTAACATGGAATACCCACACTGATTGGCCAAGCAGTCTTGGTTGCCTGGTATAAATACCAGCTTTAATGCTTTAAATACCAGAACAGTTCTCATTCATAACCAGAATTTGCAACTGTGCAGCTGGCAATTTTTTCACTGACGACGATTTTGTGCCTTTTCGCATCACCCAAGTTAGTGGGTCGGCTCAGCGTACCGATAGCTTTTTTACCGATTTTAAAAGCATTTCAAACGAAAGGGGGGAGAGGGGAGGGGATTTGAGAAATTGTATCTGTTGATATCCCTCATACTTACTTGAATATTTGAACAGCATCTGTATGTCATCAACGTTCGTTGTCACGCCATCGATACAGCAGCACTGGAATTTCTCCATTCAACTCGTTGTTACGCTTTCCGAGTCCACTTGATACTGTACAGGCATACCATGGGATCTCTCCACCTCACTGATGGCCTCCCCATGCGGGTACCACTCCATTATCCGTTTCGTCCATCTGTTATCTATCATCCAAATGCCACATGACTAGCCCATTTCTTCTTGTACTGGCCTACATTGCTTCTATAATGTCTTTCATGCCAGATTTGGCTCGGAGCACTTTATCAGTTTCTTAGTTCTCTTAAAATAATCAAATTGTTAAAATGAGCTTGCTTTGAAGATGTCCTGCATGGCTGGACGCGCTTGGTGCACGACGGGCCTCCGAGGAGGGGCGACTGACGATGTCGACAATCGAAAAGCGCAACTGGAAGAG